TGCCCTCTAAACTAAAAGAAAGATCAGATTACAAGTTCATGAAAATAGATACCAGTGTAGAAGAGCCAACCAGAATGTGTTTATTCTCACACAAACAGCTAAAAGCCCTAATCCACTCAAAAGGTCGGCCATCAATCACACGTGATATAAGCGACCATGTGTTTATGTGGAACGATGTAAATCCCATCATCTGTTCTCCAAGCCCAGAGTCGGTGTATATAACAAACTCTGCCCCAATTTACAAGAACGTTCAAAAAGAGAAAATGTGCAATTTTCTGGTTAATTGATGCGTACAAAATGAGAATTACCACCACAGAAGGAAAATCAAAGGTGTGAGAACACTGGGGACCAACAAAGAAAGGGGGAATTTGTAACGCAGAGACAGGAGATGAATTTCTGAGGTTGTCATTGTTTATAAATAGTGCAGTGGCTGTCGGTATTTCATCCCACTGTGGGATAATGCACACAAACTGATTTGATGATGAGAATGTGTAACTTTTCTTGAGAAGTAGCCTTTAATTCTCCTGTTTACGTTTCCTGCAATATTTCACAGTATGGCTGGATATTTGAATAATTTCATTGTATCTTAAGATTTGGATATTGAATTTGGATGATTGAATTTCCTGTACACAAACGGTTTGATTCTCTGATCTGTGATGGCTTCTGAGATGACTACTGATGTCATTTAGGGCTATACAAAAATGTATTCACCGTATTTTTCTGACTCTAAGCAGCAAGCTCCAATGTTTATAAAGAAATTGAATTTTGTACAAGCCGCACTGGATTATAAGCCGCACCTATCCCACATTGTAATATTGAAAAATGTTTCTCAAAAACGTATTTTTTTTACTGTGAGGATAAGAGTGAGAAGTGATTCACCAACTGTTCTTAATCTTCCAGTGTGAAGCAGAAAAAAGGAGCAACATCTACTGGTCTCTGTTCACTTTCATGTTTATACAAAGAAACAAAAAAATATGTATTATTTGAGATATTTACACAAAGATAGGACTTAAAGTGAGGACTTTTCAACTTTATTTAATCTGCTTCATTGACAAATCTTCCATTTAATTGGATTTCTGTGAACTTGCATCAATTCTCTACTTGGCAAAATGTTTTTGGCAACACAGAAAATAATAAAATAAATTCAGCCGCACCTTACTATAAGCAGCAGCATTCAAAATGCAGGAAAAGCTGCGGCGTATTTCTATGGTTGCAGGCAGAAGGTAGAAAAATAGTACAAATAGTTAGCCTAACATACTTAAAATGTAATCAGTCAAGAAATTAATCTTGCTACATTTGGGAGGCAGAAAACTTGCACAGGTGCACAGCAACAACAAGGCGCAAATGAACATACAAAAAAATGTATTTTGCGCTCCACGGAGCTGCAACATCAAAATATAATGTCAATCACAATAACTGTACTTCTACTGTGCATGTCACACAAATATACCTAAAACTGATTATTTATTTTCCCAATGAAAGTAAAAATGTACAAATATCGAGTTCTGACAATTTATCCAGCATTTTAATCTCCATGGTAGGACGTTCAAAGCACAGGTTAACAACATAAGAGTCTCTGTTACCCGTTTTCCAATAGGATAATCCAATCCTTTATATAAGAATAAACAGAAACCTAAACCAAATGGATCTAGTGTCTTATACATGTATGAAGTAGACACACAACGCGTGTAACACAACCCTCAAGTGTATCTAAACATGAATTTATAATGCTCTTCACACAGACATCGTGACTATATTACTGACCACTCCAAAATAAACTGTTTTTCGGGACAAAAGGCTAAATGCCAGATGCACAAGCCTCTAATCTTGACAGGGGTGACATTTGGACACTCGCCTGTTATGACTAATCATTCAAAATGAAGTCACAAAATCTATCTGTGGCCTCACCTCCCCCTGCCGCCTCCTCCACTGCCTAAATGTCAGCATTTCAATTGGGCTCATTAATACATATCCTCTTTTTTCGACTCCTCTGTGAGTCTGCAGACTTTCAGGACGCTAAGGTTAGGAGGTGGGTGATTTAGTGGGATGATAAATACTTGGCAGCTACTACTTTTTCAATTGCAATACCATCTTTTCAAAATCTTGCATTTCCCTATCTCAAATCCATCATTATTTCTCATCTCTCTTGTCCGTCATTCCTCTGCTGCATTACCTCGTTGATCCATTATCTGGGAGTTTGTGGGAAGCAGAGGCTGTGAATCATCCAATGGCCTTTTGGTTGACATGGCCTGGTCTGACCCACTCTGGACAAGGCCGGTCCAAAACAGCATTCATCATGAAGCCCTCTGTCCCATGCTATGACAGGAACAAACACACAAACGTTCCCCAGAATGAATGGAATCTACCAAAAAGCCACTAGGGAAAAGCCACAACAAGATAAGACTGGTGGCAAATGTGTCTGGAACACATTTGTAAACAAGGATAACACACAATATTCTAATTGAACAATTAAAACTGTGGTAAACAAACACTGAGCTATAATTCTATGATATTCTATAATATTCTATGATACTATTAGATATTCTTAATGGGTGATATAACCGTGGCTATGACATTTGTGCCATCGCATTCTTAGTATTGTAGATATGAAAAAGGAGAGAGCTAGAATTAAGCACAAAGAGCAAGTCACACTTCCACATTCTGATGATTGTACAGACGGCATAGACGGACATGAACTCTATTTCTTTGATCAAAGCTTGAGAATAAAATCTCATTGTGCAACACCATTTGAAAATGATGTCACCGATAGCAGCTCCACACCTGATTAGAAGAAACCGTCTCTTTGCACCAACAGGAAGGTGGTGTTAGCACATATAGCTACTCTATCTTTGTCTTTGATCGCAGATGGTGCTGCTAATCAGACGCCATTGTCGCAGCAGCAAACAGACATTGGCAGAAAGAGGAGATGACTGCGAATTTGGAGTTTAACGTACAGCTGCTTCAATGTTGAGACAGCGCAGAGGTTGTCATGGAAAAAGCAACAGTAAATTTTTAGTTTTGAGTTTTTCTGGCAGTATCTGTGGGTTGGGAAAGTTGTACCAAGATAGTAGTCTGAGGGAATGTTGGAATTTGGAGGACTAATAATAACAATAAATATTTACATTTTACATTATAGAGAATTTGTATAAGCACAAACAGTACAAAATAATAGAATGGGTGGAACAGAGACCGAACACCAATATGTTTTAGTTTTGTGGCTGTCCTAAAATGAAGCGATGGGGTTACAGAAGGGTGCAGGGCATGCCTTCAGGGCACTGATGCTGGCACCATCAGAGGAGGATTCTACCCAGGCCTCAGAGGAACACAGCCAACAATGAAGACACAGTCCAATTACGCGTACGGATTACAAATAATCTGTCCGTAATGAGACAAAAAAGTTGATTTTTCATGTTGAAAGAACAAACGTGATGAGTCCATCCCACACAACATTAAAGATATTACGCAACCACGAGTCACACTCTGATTTCAAGACCTTTCCGTTGCTTCCGGGGGGACAAAGGGGGAAGAAGTGATTTCAAAAATGAGAAGCGGACTTCTTTTTACCAGATTAATTAACTGATGCCTCCGACGCAAGTCCCTTAAGAGCGCACGTGCGTGTCTCTGAGTGCGCTTCATCAGAGGCTGCCAAATGTCGGGAGAGCACCCAATTAGTTAAAGAGTCTGGGCCCACACACCTGTCTACCTGTGCTGACAATAGCCTGTGGCACTTTGCATACATTTACACATTAATTATAAAAGCTAGGGCCATTAATTAGTCAGTCAAGAAACTTAATGACGAGCAATTCTATGCAGGGTTAAATCTGGGAGGCAGGGGGGCCTGGCACAGGTGCATAGGGACACGAAAGAAGCCGCGATAAAATGGGTCGCAGGTTCCAAGAGAAAATGTTATTGTGAGTTTTCCCAAGGCACTGAAAAGACCTAAATCACAAAATGAAAGCAGACCATGTTTTTAACAGTACTTAATGTTGAATCATTCAATCACGGGCTCATTCAGGACCCCACTTGAGAAGGCATCGCCTCATCTTTGAGACTGCAGACAGTCTCCAGACAGAAAGAAGAGCTTAAATCGCCCAAGTAATATGGGATTTTGTCCAAACCATAAAAGTCTTTATTAACACATTTCCAAGTCAGGGTGCCTTGGATATCTTTGCCTTTTTCCAACGCAGCATTTTTCTATTGTTTGTATGTAAGAATCAGCAACCACCCCCAAAGAGCATCTGGCTGTTTGTACAAGTGACGATCCATGAAGTAATCTTTGATGTTCGACAGACCTTCCCCAACCAGAAAATGAAAAATACCAATACTTGTGTTTACTGACATTTAAAGCTGGAGTACCTAGCTGGAGTTTTTGGTTTTCTTAAATACATGTCGTTTGTCCCAACATAAATAGCCTTTAATAAAAGGTTTGAGAACAAATCAGACCACAACATGCTTTGGAACACATTTATCTGTTACAAACTAAGAGCTGATTGAGGGCTGGAACACTCTTTTTCACCAAAAAAGATGATCTAAAGATGTGAAAACGACCAAAACTAGCAATGCTTGTGATAATATAGTGATAGAACCCAACTATAGGAATCATTTATATGGATCGTAATTCGCTATTTTATTTTATTGTGGTTTCAAAGTTAGGTACTACAGCTTTAAGTGGCAATACAGCACTACATGAGAAAAATGAATCTGAAAACGAAAGCAAGCCATCAATATAACATAATGACAACAAATACATGCAGTAAATGTACTATACCAAGAAAAAACAGCTGACTTTCCACAAAGGGCTATTGTTTTTCGTTCTGTCTCCTCTCACCACCAATATGTTTTTAGAACCTTCTTACAAATGTATAGCAAGCACTTTCTGATGTTATGACCTTGTAGAAGAATCCCAATACCACTGCTTGACACAAGTTGTTTTGGAGCGTGCTTTAAAATGAATAGTTAATGGCCGACATGCTGCGTGTGCTCAGTGAAAAGAATAGTACCTCTCTTTCTTTGAGCACAGCCTGGGTCCTGTACAGCAGCAGAAGGCGGACGTCGGCGTCTTTGAGGCTGAAGTTGTTCTCCAGGATCTGAAGCACATCGATCCGCGGGCGAACGGGCAAAGAGGAGTCTCCGCAGAAGGGACGCAGCCAGGCCAGGAGGTCATCAGAAGTCACGCCGCTGGCCCTAAGAATTGAAAAGCAAATACAGTACAATAAGAATAAGAATGTGGATGTGAAACTCCTCATAGCACAATCACAACTCAAATGACTTAAATTGTAAATATAATGTACCAAACAAGTCTATTTGCTTTTAAACTGTAACTGTTTTAAACTGTTCTGTTGTAAACTGTAACAACAGAACTTAAACTTAATTATGTTCAAACTTTGGCCAAATGATGCCACTTTCACTCTTATTTAGTATTGGAATGTTACAACCATAATTGTTCATGTTTTTATTGTTGTTGTAGCCATGTATGATGTGTGTTGTTATTCTGTGTTGGAGCAGGACACTCGTGAAAATGATGGGTTCGATTCCCCCCACGAGACCTACTCCAACTGCTCCCACTCATGTCTGCTGACGGAGCAGCCATCTTCCTCTGGACCCGGGGGATCAGCGAGGTGCCATGAGTATTGTGTGGCACTTCTGATTTCCACCCCCACCCCAAATCCAGGGATGGACTTATAAAGGGGTAGAAAATGAATAAATGAATGCCGTACACTTTGGATTTAAATACATTTTGTTTCATGTACGACAAAGCAGTACAGCTATACATGTGTCCAAAGAAAAAGATTGATCTGTATTGAATAACCCAAATATTGAAGGTAGGCCTACAGTATAGTGGCAGTGTCAGGACAATAATGTATTTCATAACCAAACCGTTTATAAGATCAGTAAGATAACCATCATGCTATTCGCCATTCGGTGCAAGAATGAAGAGGCCATTTTCACGGTGCCAAATGACTCCAAGGATTTTAGCTAACAAACTAAATCACCTGTGAACGGCCAACTTTGTTATGTAAATAAGGCCATTATCACAGGCTGAGCTGAAGTTGCTCAACCACTTTACTTTGTCTTCTTCGGGAGAGGGAGGATCTGATTAGTTAAAATGAGTTAAATCTAGTGTCATGCTGACTTTAGTTAAAAAATAATAATGAAAATAATAAAGTGAATTGAAAGAAAACAAACGAGCAACGTCATTCAATGTATACATTTACATTGTTTACAAAATAAATATGCTACTTACAGTTTTTCTCAGTGTCTTTGGTGCATTTATCACATAATTCTTCACATTTGCACGACAGTTAGTGCATTTCTCAGAACAATTAGTACAAACTGCAAAACCTTGGGGATAACCTGCAAAAGTGCATCACCTTCTCAAAATGAAAAGTTTATTCCTCAAAAGCAAGTCTTCATGTCGAGGAAACTGTCTGTCTCAAAATAATAAGTCTTAACAACATGGAGTATGAACAACACAGTCAAATGACTTCGTCACGTTTTCATTGTGACACTTTACTCTCTGTGTTTTCAAAGCAAAAAATCTGATCTTGGTGAGCACTGTACAGCTGAAAACTACAGTAAAGTTACACACAACTGTATTTAGTGAGAGTAAAAGAACATTTATACTGTATGTACTGTATGTGTGTGTGTGTTTGTGCATGTATGTATTTACTGTGTGTGTGTGTTTGTGCATGTATGTGTTTCGATGTATGTCTGTGTACTGTATGTCTTTCACATATTTACTGCATATGCTCTTTGCAATTCTACAGCATTGTGCAACAGAAATACAGTCACATACATAGAGCAAACATACAGAATATCATTATGGTAGAACTGTGACAAATGTAAACAATAAAACACACACCTCGTCATGAGTGAAGCTGAAATTCGAAATTAGGAAAGATTTTCTGGATATAAAAAGATAAAGTAATGTATGAAATTAGTTTGACAGATTTTGGTTTTTGAACAGTTTTGTATGTGATGACCAAAGCGATGAAATGAGGACTACTGGTTTTACAGAAACTATTCAGTCGTGATAAGTATGTTTCATTCTGATTGACAGGACAGAAGCAAATTATGTTATAAAACAGCAGAGAACTGTATGAAAGTAACTGATACATGTCCAAAAGCATTTGTAAAGTGTTCAAAGGAGAAACTGCCGCGATGATGTCACACACGACTCAATGTTGTGGAGGTTCTACCGTAATGATTTTTTGTATGTTTTTCTACGTAAATACTGTATGTGTACTATTTTTGTTGCAGAATGCTGTAGAATTGCAAAGAACATAAGCAGTAAATATGTGAACATACAGTACATCCATATGTATCACTAAATGCAGTCACAATGAAAACATGACTAAATCATTTGACTGTTGTTCATAAACACTGATGTCAGGACTTATTCTTTTGAGACACAGACAGTTTCATTGACATGAAGACTTTCTTTTGAGGAATAAAGTTCATTTTGAGAAAGTGACTTTTTAGCAGGTTATCCATGAGGTTTTGCAGTTTGCACTCATTGTTCTGAGAAATGCAATAACTGTTGTTAAAATGTGAAGAATTATGTAAAAAATGCACCAAAGATACTGAGAAAAACTGATTACAAAATATATACAGCGCATTCTCAGGGTACACAGCACATGTGTATCTGTGGTCTCACAGACTACTGTAGTGATCGATTTTAAGGTTCTTTTAATGGTCTTTAAATGTCTTAATGGTCTTGGGCCTTCTTATCTTTCAGATTTGCTTTTATCCTATGAGCCTTCCCGGCCCCTGCGCTCCTCCGGCAGCAGACTTCTAACCATCCCCAAAGTCAGGACACACACTCACGGCGAGGCATCTTTCCAGCACTACGGCCCCCGTCTCTGGAACAGTCTGCCGGAGGAGCTCAGGGCCGCAGAGAACGTTCATATTTTTAAAAGTAGGCTCAAGACGCACCTTTTTAGAGCAGCTTTTGATTAGTATTTATTATCTATTATTGCTTTTTAGTACATCTATTTATGTTTTTAGACGGATTATATTTTTATTTATTTTTATTATTTGCTATTTTTAATTATTTATTGTATCTACCCATTTACTATTGTTATTATATTAGGCAGCTGCCATTTTTCTTTTTATTTTCACATTCTATTGTTCTACTTTCTATTGTATTATTGTATTGTTTTAGTGTCCCCAGTGTTTCCTCTGGAGGAGCCCTCTGCACTGAGAGCTGGGGTCTGCTGTGGCTTCGGGAGTCTGGCTCTTGGATCCGGTGGGGGTCTGGGGCCTCCTCTCTCCTCTGGGTCCTATGGGGTCTGAGTCCTGGGCCTGGTGGGGTCTGGGGCCCCTCTCTCCTCTGGGTCCTGTGTCGTTGCCTGTGGCTGCAGCCGGCTCTCTGCTCCTGGTGCAGATGGCTCCTTGGATGACGCTTCTTCAGCCGGTTACATCTGCTCCCAGCCCCATTTCTTTTTATTGTTTTACCTATTTTACCTGATATGACTTTATACTTGTGTATATGTGTGTGTGTGTGTGTGTGTGTGTGTGTGTGTGTGTGTGTGTGTGTGTGTGTATTGTATATATAATTATAAATGTGATTTTGGGGGGTCTGTGGGGAGGAGGGTTTAGGGCTGGGCATGTTGGATTGTTTTTAACTAAACTGTAAAGCACTTTGTGTTACACTTTTTGTATGAAAAGCGCTTTATAAATAAAATTTGATTGATTGATTGATAGTACTCTCTTGCAGCTCTCCCTCCCCCGCACGAATAAACAAAGCCCACCCCAGCCCCCTGCTGTTATAAGTCATTACCTACATTTGCAAATCAATACATGCAAATGTTAGCAGCCAACCTAGCAAGTTAGCTCCCTCTCCTCAAAACAGGGGCCAATTTCGGTTGGGTTTTCTAGTGTTAATCTTTGGACAGAAATATTTGTGAACTTATGAAATTGTTTACTGAAATCCAGCCGGTCTAGTTCAGTGCCTTGATTATCTGATGAGTTGTATTGTCTCCAATAACATCTGTGGTGTAGAGCTGGTTTAATCTGCACCTATTAGTTACATCCCTTGAAAGATAAGTCGCTGGAAGATATGTCTGGCATAACTGATAACTCATTACAAATAACAAAGCAAGTCCTGAGAGTCTTTCAGTGAGAGGCTTTTATGAGCAAACTGGTAGAGCTATGCTGAGGGACAGAGTATTGGTAGGTATTGGAATAAAGTAAGATCAAACGATTTCTGTGTAGGAATAATGAGGAATGGGGAATGACAATCTGCAAGACTCATCATAAAATACAGAATGTTCAGCAGCGTAAGAACAGCTTTAATCATCCTACAATGGGGAAATATCAGTTTTGCATCGCACTTCAAAATAAATCACTCAAAATAATTAAAGCAATATAAGCAAATACAATAGCACACAAGAAAAAGGCACAGTTCTATTCCTTAAAACAAATTATGTGATCCAGACAGTGATCAGGATGATATAGGAAATAACCAGACTTTACTATTATATCTGGGTGTTTCAAATTTGTCTGCACTTGGAAAAGAAAACTCAGCAGTTGTATATATTTAGCTAATGTAAAGTCCTTCAGCCAGTCATTTGCCTCCTGGTCTGCTGTGTGGAGGGTGATTAATCCTCCTCTCCGTCGTTGGAGAGGGAAGGCTTCAGTGATGTTTTCCATAGTCTGCTCCTCTCCACAAGCGCACACTGGGCTAGGGCTGCTGCTCCATCTGTGAAGGCTGGCCAAGCACGGGGCATGTCTATTCCCGAATCTGTTGATGGTTGACCATTGTCTCCTTGGGAGGTCGGTGCCAGGGACCTGTTGGGTAGGATCTGGCACCAGGTGTTTTTTGGGGACCTCCTTGGACGCCCACTCCTTTTTCCAGGCTGATTGGATGGTGAAATCAACTATTGGGGCGTCTGGATGGGAGTCAAGCAGTGGGTGGGTTGAAAATGTCTTTGTGGATTGATAGGTTGGGGGAGTCTTCAACCTTTTGAAGCATCCTTTGAATAGATGCTGCTCGCTGGATGTGTGGAGGTTTGATAGAACAGGGAGCCAGGGGAGAGGTGTTGAGCGAATTGTCCCAGTTATAATTCTGATGGTTGAGTTCAGCTGTGTGTCCACGTGATGCTCAACTCAACCATGAGAATTATAACAGAGACAAGGTGAAAATACTGACTGAAGAGTTTTGGAGGAGTCTCAATAGTCTGACTCGTCCGCACTGGGAACACAAATGTTCAGTACTTTGAAAAGGGAGAAAAGTGCTATCCACTGTAATAAGTGAATCAGACCAAACTTTGATTTTCATTTTCCACTGTTTTATATTTTTGGTTGACAAATAAGTACTGTATAATATTATCATATACTCCCTGTACAATACTGATTTTATTGCTTTAAGTGAAAATACTTTAAATATTTCTTTTGTAAGCCTGGTGGTCCATTAATGACAACACAAATATATTGTGTTGATTGAAAACAAAATGTAGCGAAGCAGTGATGCTACCGAGAATGCATTGTAGAGAAAAATATAAACTTCTTAAAAATACTCCACTTGAGCACTAATTTTGAGAGTGAATATGAAGCATTCTAAATAAACTAATTAGAACAAATAGGTAAATGTATTTATTGTTACCAACCGTGATCGAGAGGGCCAAGCCACAGCAGCCCTATACTCCCTGGGTTATCTATCAATGTTGATCAAACATTGGTCACTATGGTCGCTATGTTTGCTAGCAACTGATCTCGGATCAAATTCTGAGTGTCATTACTCCTCCCCATGGAGTTTCAGAGTTTCAGGACCGTACTATATAGCGATTAAAAGATCTGACACTTCCTCCAGGTGGAAGTTAAAGTTACTTTAAATGAATACAAAAATATCAAGTAAATTGATTACTTTCGAGTTATGGTATTGCGGTGAAAGGACAAACAAATATTAGTAAATCAATCACTTCAAAGTAATAGTTTTGCATTCTGTCAAATTGAATTTAATCATCTTTATTACTTAATAAAGAGCTGAAGTTAATAGTACTCAAAAAGGCCGATGGAACTTCTTACGGTATTTTTTTTGTTTCTGATTAAAGCAACACTTTTTACATTGTATTATAGGACACCCAGCTGGACATTGCCTTAGGCCAGTCAGAGCAGGACAGAGGGGGGAAAGCAGCGATCCAGACGTTGATCTGGATTACCTCCAAAAGAAAATCATTAGTTTCTTGTCTCATTCAAGAGGTTTCTTGAAAATATCATACAAATCTGCCCAGAACTTTCTGAGTAATGGAACGACTTAACTAAAAAACTGGTGAAAGTAAGAACTGTTAGGAAGCAGCACCGATTTGATCTGTATGTTTCAGTTGGATGGTTAGACAATGGACTCTCTTTACAATCATTAAACATGAACAACATGAACTCTATTGTTTTCTTATTCACCGTCAATATAAAGGAAGCAACTATTCAGTCAAGGGACAAGGAGTGAACCAGATGTTATTGCCATTTGACACGAGTGAGGGGTTCAATGATATTTCCATGACGCATTCCATTTCATTCATATTCTGTGTGTGTGCAAGGAAAAAAAAACCCACAAACAACAAAGATGGATGAACATGATTAATGTCGTCTGCCAGAGGTAAGCACATGACTAGCATTGGTTTAAGCTACCTACCCACTCTGCACGCTCCTGTGAACAGCGGTCACCATGGATTCCAGCACCGTCAGAGGCAGTGGATATTTTGTCAGGGTGTCCGAATCTCCACTGCAAAACAAAAATCACATCTGAAACTATCAGGTTGCATAATATGCTAATTAAGATGCAATTTTCAAATTAGCAGCATGTCAAGGGACAGCAGCAGAAAGTATAAAATAATCAAAGCTGTGTTTTACTCAGGGACAGTTGGAAATGGATCTGGAGGCAATTAAGATTTTTTAAGCAAGGTTTGCACAATTCAGCAAATGTTTATGGCTTTATTCTTCATACTGGGAAAAGTACAATGCCGTAATCTGCAAAAATAAAACCTCTAAAGGGACACGAATATTTCTATTTACCTACAATAGTATAGTGTGGAATTAATGGTATACTATGGTATGGTATTTTCTACGTTGGCCTTTTACAAGTATACATTAAGGAAGGGTTACATCGCATTTTTTTTCCTAGGAGGGAAAAAAATTGCTCTTGGTTGAAAAAAAACTGGTGGGACTCCTTCTGCAGTGTCATTAGCACAGTTGTGGGTTTTGCTGCAGTGTGTGGTGTGTTTGTGTGCGTATATGTGTGTGTGTGCACTATATGTTGCAGGTTATTTTTCACTCCGACAGAAATGGGGGAAAACAGGAGATTTCCCCTGACTCAACACGACACAAGGCCTGAACATAAACCCAGCACTAAACCTACAGTGATAGTACTACTCACAATTCTGCATATCATTCATTTTAACAGGATATCCAACATCAGCTGCGGAAGGTCACCTAGACGATTCCCAAACGGTATGCAATGTTATGTATAGCCATTCCAACAGCCATCTCTAATTTTTTGTATGGTGAACAATAAAGTAAGCTCATGCACCTCAAAATGATTACTTCCATCTACCTGCCATTAAGCAAAGAGTTGGTGCGAGCTGAAAGCTTTTCTGTACGTTCACGGATTCGCCAAAAAATCATATTTTTCAGCCCACACAGCACAACCTAATGTATAATTGCCCAACCCAGGACCAGTCTAATGCCCTGCGGCTGTTCATAGCATACCTCAGTGCATAAAATAAAACGTCTTTCCTAGAACAGTGACTGACACGTTCGAGGAATAGTTAAACCTCTGGTGAATACATAATCTGCACTGTGTCCCCACATAATACAGAGCGAGATCTAGAGGGGCACAACGGCATTAATTATAAGATGATAATGAATCACAGATAAGGGGAGGGAGGGAGCGTAGTGTAACAGTGTGTTACTTCAAATGTGTATGCAGTGTGTATTTATTATCACAAGGCTAATGTGCAGTTGCTTCAGGGGACAAGGCCTCCAAATGGGGATAAATAGAAGCTAATGATAAATGATTCAGTTCATAAGTTGAGCTGCTATGTAAGGGCAGTAGATGCATTGATGTTGTGCTATGACAAAAACAGATGCTATATATGTAAATGCCTTGTTTTCTTGGTTTGCTTGCAATGCATAGCTTATGTATATGTATCATGGTCACATGGTGTAAATTGGGTAAAACTGCGTATGTAGTGTGGGGGCAAGCTATGAACGGTAATTAAGTTAGCTTCTGGTAAATTAATGCAACTCAATTCAATGTCCCCGGAGCCCATTGAAGCCCACCGAGTCATGTGTGCGTGTATACACAGTAAAAGCAGGTTCCATCTATCTGTCCCATGCCCCATTGAGCACCCATAAAAAGCAGGAAATGAGGCAGGAATATAATGAATGCAATTGGCAGTGGTTTATCACACTGATCGGCTGGTGCGATTATATCTGGCTCCTGTTTCTAAAGCCGTGTTCAGTGACCCATCTTTTGCAGGTTCTTCATGCACAAAGGACATAAACGGTCATCTGTATCCTCTGCCCTTGTGAAATACTGGTGTATCATCTTTTCCAAAACACAATAAATAACGTACACAAAAATATGGCTGAAATTTTGAAACAACTTTAAGAAATAATCTCTTTGTGTGCTCCTACAAGAAGTACTTAATATGGTTGCACTACATTCAAGAACATTGTAATTCTATATTAAGTTACTGATTAAGTTACTAGAACCTGTAAGTGTGCACAGTATTTTAACTGTGGTTAGCAATCATGCTTGGCTAACCCTAACCCTAACCCACCACCTAAAATATGCACCATAAGTAAAAATCCTCTAGCAAAGATCTGGGCATAGGGGCCACATAATCTCCACAAGGACATCTTCTCTTGTCACAAGGTGAGGTAAAAGAGACCCCAAATTGCAGAAATTGAAAAATAATAAAGATTTAATGATGATATGCAAAAGTCCAAGGAAAAAAAACAGTTCAAAATCCAAAACGGAACTAGGAACAAAAAAAGACAAAGACAATGGACCAGCAACAAGAGGAGAGGAGCACTGGGTATAGACTCAGACACAGTCTATAAACACATTAGGACGGTGCAGACCACCAAGACGGGGCAACAGGAAGTCAAACTGAAACAAAACCACAGGACTGAAGTCAAAATAAAACCAAGAGCAAAAATGAAATCCACACCATGACATCTCTGTGCACACAAAGTGATAGAACTTTTCTGCCAGACTCTGACAAACCAGCAATGTACATGCTCCCTGTGCTCTGTGCCACCAAGTGGTCTCAGCCAGAGAGCTGAGGGCCACGAGGGACCAGCTGTTAACATCCAAATCTTATTTCTGCTGTTTGCAGAAATAATCTTTCTAAAGGCTTAATCAAACTCGTGCAGCACAGTCTGAAGCATCTGGGATGAGAAACAGAATTCAGTATCAGCCGTTACCGATCCCTCTGCAGCTTGGCAGTTGATATAGCTTGGAAAAGAGCTACTGCACATCCACAGCAAGGGATTTTACGGTTGCTTAGATGCCTCCCTGGTCACCCATGGAGGCATAGTTTTGCATGTATTTTCCACTGGGAAAAGCCTGGATGCTGTGCTGTTCACAGTGCTATCCCTGGCCAAAGAACACTGGAGAAGTTGAAGGTGTCTGGGGGAGGGAGGGCAGGAGGTCCCTTCTCGTGTAAGTGGAGGAAGATGGATGAAACCTTTGTGGAAGGGGGCAGCGGTCAGTGTAAATCCACACATGTTCAGCAGCCTCTATGCAGCATTGGTGTTATATGTGACACAGTGAATCATCTTTTCATCTACTCTGACACCAAAGTGCAGCTTACTCCACTCCCACAGGTCTCGACACAAAATTCAATATCAGAATTGTGCTATTAAGCAGCATGCCCATGTTTTCCCAGTGTATGCGCAGAAATAATTCATAAAACAAAGAAATAAATAGAGAGGTATTTATATATTTGATAACATGACAACTTGACGATCTTGTTGCTTTTTGTTTGATTTAATAGCATGTGGTGATCTGCCCCACACCTTTGTTTTTGTTTCCAACACAATCTCATTCATGGACGCCTTTTTGAAATATTCTGACAGGAAGTCCAACCGTGCAACACTGTTTATGATTAATATCCCACTCGAATGCTGTCACATCAAAAACTGACAGCAGCAACTTGGCTGGAATTTCAAATAAAGGCTTTAGGGCATAATTGGAAACGCATTTTATCATTTGTTCCTCCTGGGTGGTGTTGGGGGGTATTAAAAGTTAGATGTTGTGGAATTGGGCAGAAAATCAATATACTAAAAGCAGTTGTATTATTCTCGTACATTTGAGGCCCTTTCTTAGTGAACCTAAAATAATAAGGACCTAAACCATTATAAGGTTATGCTTTTTAAACGATCCGTCTAGACCTTTTCTTCTGCTTTCTCTGTTGTCTTTATCTGTTACCATACACAGCTGTAATGATGCACAAGGATATGTTTATAAGAACTACTTGGGAGCAGCTAATGAGTAATAATCATTATTATCACAGGTTTATTTTGTTTCTTAATTAGCGCTTGTAGTCTGCATTTAGTTAATTCACCTTAATAATGCATGCATTCTAAATACAATGTACAAAATTAACCAGGTCTGCATAATGCACCTCTCAATGCTACCCACTGTCTATGCTGCCTTTATATGGATAATGGTACTACCCAAAAAGGCTGGACTTTATACCTGATTTTAAAGCCCTTTGTCTCACACAAAAACACACATTTATTTTGCTCTAAACAATGAAATGTGTCATAACTGCAACAACAAAAAAAGATATTTATTTGTCTACAATTTCCAGCTGGGTTTTGCTTTAATCCAAGCTAAAATGTACTCATCTTGTCCAGAAAAAAAACAAAACAAAAACAATATTAAATATAATCATATTTCCTACAGGTGCAAAAGTTCTTTATGAATTGGAAGAAAACATTGGAAATCTTGGATTTCATGTTTCCCTCTCCCTGTCTTTGAATATTTGTGTACAAAGAGATTTGTCACGACACCTACTGTATCTACAGCACCCGCCTCCCCCCACTCGCTGAATGGTCGGATGAGATACAACCGAATTTACCACAGCCACTAGGCTGGAGTTTACGGATGACTAAGGCCAGGCTAATTAAATGGAAACCATCCTGCCAATACAGCTAATGCATCAATGCAATAATTACGGCTAGATTTAATTATATTTTAACAAAATGACCAATCACATGCATTATTTTAAGAATGATAGAGACTCACAAGTAAATTGAAGTCTCAGACAGCCATTTCAGCATCACATATGTACCACGTTTTGCTGTCAAAAACTTGTTATTTCAAGCTTTTCAAAAACAACCACATCTCTTCGGTTCAAATCCAAGAAAATAATCTTCCATAACAGCAGGGAATAAGACAACAGCAACTATTTATCATTCGCGCTCAGCCTCCAAACTGAAGCTTTAATATAAATACCAGTTTTGTGTGTTTTTCTCCTGTGTAAGCTCTGGGGAGATGCAGTTAAAATCCAATACCTGAGCGCAGACACCACTCTCTCCACAGCGTCATGCAGCACTGTTTCGACTGACAGGTCCAAGGTTCCCACTGCCACCCTAAGGACTTCTCCAATCTGCTCCAGAGGGTGGCCATCCGTTGCCATGGTGACCGCCAGCTCATGAACTTTAGGCCTCTCGGATCGGGACAGATCGTAAAGGCGGCTGTACCCCTGCAGCTGGTCCTGGAGAAAAGACAAAAACAAAGAAAGATGGAATGCAGCCAGTTGACATGTCCGACCTACCAGGCCAAAGGGAGACAGCGGATTTTAGCAAGTCATCAATCAATCAATCAAAGTTTATTTGTAGAGCGCCTTTCATACACATGGCAACACAAAGCGCTTCACAGTCCACATCACAAATCATCACATAAAACAAACACCAGAATCACAATTAAAACATTAAAATCACACAAAAGATTAAAACACAATTAAAACATTAAAATCACACAAAAGAATAAAACCATTAAAACTTTCAAAATTACACAAGAAATTTAAAAAAATAAATAAATGACAGCAGTGCATTAAAAATGGAGATAAAATCCTTCAGTTGTATGCACAGGCAAACAGAACAGTCTTTAACCTGGATTTGAACATTGACAGAGTAGACGCCTCCCTCACATTTTCAGGGAGATTGTTCCAGATCTTAGCTGCATGGATCTGAAACGCAGCCTCCCCAGTCATAACAAATGGAGAAAAAAAGCCTGTGTGAGAGAAAAGGCGGGAGCAAATAAAGAAAAGTGTGTGTGAGACAAGAGCATTGTGATAACTTTAGTAAGTGGAGTTTTGTTGAAGAGTAGGCATTAACCCAGAGGGCAGAGGCAGCCTGTACCTCCTAAACCCTCCACGTCTAAGTAAGCCTTCAAAGACAACCTGGAAACTAGTTGTACTTCAACTTCCAAATATCTGTGACCAGTTTGAACCCAGCATGTCAAAACTTGTCTAACTTGGTTCATGTTTTCACAGGAAAAACATTAACAAACTTTTAAAGAACAAAAATCTACAATAATTTAAGACATAATTATGATTAGAACACATGGCCAACACATGTTAATTGTATTTAACCTCTTTACATCCACCCGCCCGCCGGCGGGCAATTTTTATTTTTAAAATGTTCTGCTGGCAATAACAGATGCATTTTGAACACCAAACCCCAAAAACTGTATATCATTTTAAAGCTTATTTTCTTATCTACATTTACATTCAAGTGTAAACTACATCAGACTTTGCATTCAAAAGATATAACACATAATATAGGCACAATATAAGTCACTTCGGAAAAAGTGTTTTAACTTTGGGCTTGTGCTGCATAAATAAATCAGCTCTCCTCCCGGCTTCCTATGGCTCTTTCTCTCTGGAACAGTCCATTTAAAGGGGACATATCATGAAAAATCCACATTTTGTGCCTTAAATGTCTTATGTTGTGTAGTTGGAGCCTCTAGAAGTGCAAAAAAGTTTAAATCAGTCTCTTCATGGGTTGCAGAGAACACTTCATATTCTGTTTAGGTAAGATATTTCAACCCGTTCTGATTTTGCCATTCTCTATTACGTGTTTAGAATTATTACGTCACAGTATTTGCAGCGAGACTGCTATATAAGGGCATGGGCGTCTAACAAAACACTTCGGCCCAGCCCTCCTCTACTGCGCATCACTTAATTTGTAGTCCAAGCTCAAGGATGCCAGCGAACAGGGCTGGACTGGCCATCGGGCGTACCGGGCAATGCCCAAAGGGCCGATGCCCATATTTGGGCCGGTCTGTCTGCCTCATACAAAACACATGTTTATGAGAAGTGTAAATCCGTTGAGAATTTTTTGAGCGGGGCGCGCGTATCCGCGGGGCACCTGCTGTATGTACTTGAACGGGATTCCGCCACCTCAGCGGCCGCAGTGTTCCAAGGGCATCTGCGGCCGCTTTGTAATGAGCAGCTTCCGCGTCCAGCGGCTGCGAGAGGTTGTGAGCGTCCAGCCGCTCGCAGCCACTCCACCGTGTTGAGGCTGAGCGCGCAGCCTCAACGTGACCATGTACCCAACCCCATAAACGCGCACAGGACCATGCATGTCTTTGAGTAATCTGTGCACAGTGCACCCAATAAATACACTGCTGCAGGAAACAGTCCGCGTCTCCCCTCTCCTCTCTCTCTCTCTCTCTCTCTCTCTCTCGAAGCGCGATTAAACGCCCTAAATAAAGCTCTGATACCTACAGTACATTTTGCATTGCATTAAAAGTTCATGTTTGAGCCCAAAAGTAATATGTTGTGAACAAATTAAACAGATTTAGAGCCAGCAAATGGCTGACAATATGCATTTCAGTCTTTTTTGACCAATTCTCATCCCTGTAACAAACAATAGTGTTGTCTGTGTCCACCTTCCTCACTCTGAGACATGTTCATTACCCTCTTGTAATGTTGACTATTGCATTTTATTTTATTGTTGAAACTGCACATATCCTGATCCTCTACAGTATTTTCTTCCACATACTGTATAAACTAGGAGTCGGCAACCTGCGGCTCCGGAGGCGCATGCGTCTCTTTCCTTCTGTAGAAGGAAAAACGTTCTCAACGTAATATTCCATTTAAACATTTCTGTCAACGTAGTGCGTCATATCCTGCAACGTAGGCCCGCGCTAGGCGGCCGCTGTTGTAAACAAACTGGCGTGTGAGCATCATAGACTGTGCGCATGGATCCCAAAGCTAAAAAGAGAAGAGTCGATAATAAGACTGGACTAAGAATGAAACTTAACATTTGCTTTCAGTCAATGAGGAAGGACTGCTTCATGTTTGCGATGTAATGAGAAGTTTATATGAGATAATTGTATCTGTGCTTAGTAACTACAAAAATGGCCGCTCGGGGTGGAGTTGAACCTGTGTCACCTGGATGGGGGCGTGGTCTAAAGCGCCTCATTTGCATTTAAAGAGACAGCACCAAAACAGGTTGCTCTCAGACGCACCTCAGAACAGGTGTAGAAGAAAGGCCCGTGGAGCTACAAATAACGAGACTCAGACCCAGGCATTGCAGTTACGCTTTATATAGGCCACAAATTAATGATTTAGATGTAAAAATCAATTATTTGAAAACACGATATGTCCACTTTAACAATAATATCCACTTGTATTTCCCAAAGTATAATCCATTCTGGAGAAATAATACAAAATTGTGCATTTATCTGTAGCAAAAAAAAACGAAAAAAAAAGAGTACAGAGGCTGTTCTTTCACTGTTTACGGACTTTTACCTTTGTTTGTCACCCAAACATCTGGTATCCACGTGTTCCTCTACTCCTTATCTTTCAAATGAGACCTTCCTCTCTACGAGCCATTTTGGGTCTGCAAAATCTCCCGTGAGTTGGAAAAGCGGCTGCGTTTGGCGCATGGGATCACTTCACATTTGTTATCATTAGACTCATTTGCATATACTTCCTTGCGGAAAGATTGACATGTCCGTGTAGCCAATGAGGAAAGCTTTCTATTAAGGGGTGGGATATATGTATACTGCATTGGGTTGTCTCCGTAGAAGGCTGCGTAATGGCCTGGAGACAGGCGCTGACGGAGCAGCAATGATTTTACACTCTTATTAACTTTTAAAAAATGTTTTAAAAAATCACATAGATTAGTAACTTATAAGTATCAAAAATAAAAAATATGGTTTTTATGATAATGAAATGTCAGTAAAGCAATTTGACACAATTTGGCACAATTGTGCCAAAACTTGATGAAAAAGAGAAACTGCATAAAAACTAGAAACTTTAGACAGATGTTGTCAACAACACAATGAACATAGGGTTTGAATTTTGTGAACTTACAATGAAGTATGCCTTTTTTAGGCCCTTTAGAAATTGAAAATTTTAGTCGAGGCTAAAAAAAGTTTTTTTCCCCAAACTTCAAAGGATGCAGAGTGAAATAGGAATGACAGGCATTATTTTAGTATATATTTACATAAACTAGAAGGCTCTAGCTTTAAAATGATGCATCATACAAGCATGTGACATGTAGGATGTGTTTTTAAATAAGCAAAGACATTTGGGTATGCCCAACTTTTGTGCACAAGCCAAAATGAGGTGGATGTTAAGAGGTTAAAGTAAGTTGGGTGTAATAACTTTGTGATGGAGAAAACTTGTTTAAGGGCTACTACAGTGATACTGTGGCTATCAACAGCATCCACTCACTGACTGCCAGCCTATTTCAGAACAGGTACTCCCATACTGCCAGCTGTTTCTGATGTTTTTTTTACTGATTTTACTGATCTGAAATCCAAAACTAGATTCTAAATAATTTTGTTTCTAAATTGTTTCGTTCCTCTGTAATCCTCAGTCGAGTAGAGGGAAGTTTTACTGAAACACCAAAAAGCTGAGAAAAAAATAGGCACAACAAGCGCAACTAGCTGTTTTCAAACCATTCAGAGAGCAATGCTGCCACCTGCTGGCTTGATAAAATATGGTCTAAAGCTACTCCCCATACTTATTAGATACAATAGACATATGGGAACGTGAAAATAGCGGGAAACGCAATTGACGGATTAATTCGTCAATAGCACAACGTTGCTATTTGCTTTGACGTATTTGTGCGTCAATGGCACACAATGAGTGCAAACAAATGTTTCCATTGAAACCATTACAGCAGTGGTCTGGTCAGACCACAAAGGGCTAGTGTGGTTGCAGGTGCCAAGCAGACTAGACCAAACTGGACTATGCATCATCAAGTCTCTGACCTGAAAACATGATGAAACTGAGTCTGAGTGAACCTGAAAATTTGCAGCCATACCAGCTCTATTCTGTTGAAGACCACTGCATTTTAGTAAGTCTTCTGCTTTTCAGTCTGGAGGTACAGTACAGTGCTCCGGGAAAAATAAAAGTTTATCTGGAGCGCTGAGACAGTATGAGTAAAAATTACAATTCCTTCAAGCTGTGTGCAAGTTTGAAGGGATTAGATTATCTCTCCAAGACATTCCAGCACATTTTGCTACATGGCATAATTATATTAACAATAACAACAAAAAACAAAATTTCTCTTGTGCTCTAGTTTGCAATGGCTAACTCTCCATCCTCATGACGGGTCAAGGCCCCGACAGTGGATTCGAGCACAATCCACACAGTAATTCCCAGCCGCTGCCCACGTACATTTGATAAATGACTCCTGAACGGGCAAACGCAGCCTACAGCGCTCCTTCTATCTATCTTTCCCTATATACCTGCCCTCTACTTGTTCTTATATCCTTTCCGTAATGCACCCTGCATGATTGAAGTTGAACATGGATTAAAAAATGTCATATCTAATGTTATGGTTTATATATTAGCATCTTCATCTTCTTGTGATACTCGGGTGACTTTGAAGTTAAGATCTTGGTACTGTAGCTTAATTTAAAATGTACAGGTAACAGCTAAAGGTTTAGGTCTTGGCTTAGTCTATTCCATAAATTACTCGTTAACTATATGTCTGTCTTCATTAAACGTATAACCACCTTGTTATTTTATGTGGTTTTAAACAATATTGTCTTGCCTAGTACAAGATGCGAATGACAGCTTTTTAATGGGGACCCTGTGGTTGCCATTAAAACCCTAATTGCTGAATCATAACATCCGCTGCGTGTTGGCTCACATTAGGCCAAAGAGAAGATACGGAGGTAGACAGAAGGGAGGTGGTAAGTCAGAGTGACTTTGCCTAATGAGATATAGGACAGAGTACAAACTGTATATGCAGTTATATAGGAGATTTACAGCATCATGTCCTTGGCTGGTCCCACTGTGGCCAACAACAGTCCGGTCAAGCAGAACAACGACAACACAAACATACACATAAATTCATGTTGAAGGTATAGCAAATTGTTGATGAAAGTATAACATAGAGGAATTCACCAGCTTTTTGTGCTTTTCCAGAATAGAATAGAAAGGAAAAAAAAAGTCTTCAAGGGGAAATTTGTTATAGGCATAGTGCTACGGATTTGCTTTTAACAATAAAGACAGATCACATTCAAGAATACAATACAAAACAATAGAAAGATGCAGTAAAGTAGTAGGAGTAATTCTGTTGTTGGAGTTTTCATTTGTTTCATTCTTATGTTCAAATGGGCTCCTTGTTTTCGTTTGCAAATAGCTAAAGGAAAAAACCATAGCATTTTGATCTGCAGGAGCTCTTGCAAGTTGTGTCGTTGCAATGACCCATGTAAACCTGTGATGTTCCTAACGTTTACAGTTGCCGTGGGAGCAGATGGGCCGTACCTGTTGGCTATCCCTCATACGCAGGATGCAGGGCTGGCTCAGTGTGTCCAAGTGGGACTGCGACTGCTGCAGGTGACAAAGAGCCTCATCAAAACTCATCCCCGCTGGGTCCTTCTCCTCCTGCTCCGCTACTCCTCTCTTCCGACTCTTCTCCGCCAGCTGCCGCAGCGCTTTAGTCGCCCGCTTTATGATCTCTGACCTCGTAGAGATGCTCAGCTGATGAGGAGCAGAATAAGTGACAGAGTAAATAAACATTGTATTTCAAATATGGGTCGATACATTTGATGATTTGTTTTCCAGTAATACTCAATTCCAATATCAGTCTCATTTGTAATTTCATGAACTTACTTCCCTCTTTGTAGATATTTGTTACGTTTTTTTTTTGTAAAAACATTTTCTTTGTTGAGTCTTGTGATGTTTTGGGCATATATCAGACCACAACATACTGTCTATCTTATTAGAGAATTCTTTTTCACCTGATTGGGGAGTGAGGCTTGGAACTTTTGTTTTCATTGTAAAAGCTAAAAATGTGACAGAACATTTGACGTGACTGTGACATTTGGAGAAAAGTGTTACATGTTGTTCCGGATTTAAAGTACCGCACTCCAGCTTTAATGCTCATTCTACCTCTTTAACTTAGTGCTCCTCAATCGCCACTTGAAATCTGAACGTTCACAGCAATAACACATCCCATAACTCTTGACATTTATGCTGACATTTATCTGAGACAGGTGCAATCTGGCACATGTGATCATAAATCTATTTACTATAGGCACACATTAATCCAACGCATACATGTCACGAGTCAAGCTGCATTTCTTGAGAAAGAGAAGGCACTGCTGATTCGTTCAATCCCCATTTTACTATATTTTTTAAAGGATATAGCAATCAACCCATATTATCCATCACTGTCACTATGCTCTGCTTTGAAGAGACATTTGAGCCAATATACAATTTGATTCCATATGAAAGTGAATGGGAGGATCATAGCTGGCTGCCGTGAAAGTGATTCTATTCAGTGGCAGCAGGTTGGCCATTCGTTCAAAAGGCGCCTTAAGCCGTAGAGCATTGTCAATCTCTAAGAAAACCCAGATGATTACCACAAAGCCAGTCTTTTCCTTTACCCACACAGCAACTACAATACCACATACCTGCAAGCCAGTTAACTTCAGGTCTGTCAGCAGTTCACCACAAAAATACATCACTGAAATAACTAATAGCCCATCGAAGCGGTGCAATTTGTCTTAAAGCTATTGTAGAGGGCACGCTTATATGTCTATGCACATTGTACAAAGCCCATTCACACATGGTCATTCATTAGGTTCCCGTTGTATCGAAACAGAAGCAGTATCTCAGTTGACATCGCTCAAAGTCAAAGGTTATGCGGGTGAGAGTTGATAAAAGAGAGGAAGCTTCCACTAAAGAGTCAATCTAAAATCAATAGATCTGAGGGAAAGAAATGCCAGCATCCTGTTTCCCCAACAACCGGGCTAAATAACTCCCGGCTATCTTTTTTAAAGCACTAAAGCCTTGTGGGAATGAGATCAATCTATCTCACTCCAGTGTTAAAGGTCACATACCCAATAACAGCAGAAAAAGGATTAGGGAGTAGAAAAAAGAAACCAGACATTTGTGGTAATTTGCATGTTATAAAGTCTTGTGGCGACACATTTCCTGCTGGGAATTAGAGTTTAATTGGTACTGAAGAAGAAAAGGATCAATTAGCTCTCAGAAAGTTATTGGATAAAATGGCTGTGAAAAAAGGTCTTGGAAAAAGGGTGGCAGCGAGCCAGTGGGAGAAAAAGAAATCCACAGTTGGAAACTATTGATAAGGGGCACACCAAGGCACTTAAAGTGTGCGGCAGGACTATTTTTCAGAGTGATTTAATTATACGGCTGACATTTCGTGTGCAATTTTATAATTTCTTTTATAAATCATGACTGGTCTGTGCTTTGGGGCAAGCCAAGTCTGAAAGTGAATAATATATTTTAAATTAGATAGAAAGCTTAAAACTTTCCCCCAAAAAAGTAGCCAGAGGCGTTGGACATGGCTGGACAGAAGATTTAGATATTCAGCCTGATGCAGAGATAAGCTGTGGACTTTTTACACAATACACAGTGTTTGGTCATAGCCTGAAGCTAACTACCTCCTGTTCTGAACTCACCCTGTGTCAGGGTTTAGCTATAGTTCATGTTCTTTTAGTAATATAATATACTTGTGTAAATGTTCTCAGGGTTTTGTCTAGTTTTGATGTGCTGGGAAGTAATTATGGTAAAATGTGATTCTGAAAAATTTAGTAGAAAGTCATGAGAGAAGAAAATGCCCAGGGTTAACCGCCTATGGTAAAACGTGTAACAGCTAAATACTTACATGTTCAACAGAATCAGGGGAGAAAGTGATGTTATCTACAAAGTTCACTGCGTCACTTGGGACAAGGCGGTCGAGGTATTTGGCACATGTGTCGTAGGCATGGAGGAAGTCCTGGTTAGTCTGGGGGGGCCTCTTCAGTAGCTGGGGGTCCCCTCTCCAGAACAGCTTTTTTAGCCAGACAGAGTGGACCGCGCTGGGGGTGACTGTCTGTCCCTGTCCCCCGGGCATGGGCAGACGCGTGGCCAGTTTGGAGATGGACAGGACATTCTGACTGCTGAGCACTGGTTCCAGAGTGAGGAGTGGGTTCAGGGATTCATCAGTCAGCTTCCGATAGTCCAGACCTGAGAAAACAAACAAGTAGAGCAAATTAGCAACATCTGGAGGCTAATTAAGTCTTTTAAATTGACAAAGTATGTAGAGGATCCACAAATGCCTTTGTTGGCGATGAGACAAATTGGCAATCTTACCAAGAACAAAATACACAGAACTTTCATTGGCTGAATTTGGCATTCAACCAGCTCGTTATATTTGTGTTCTGGGAAACAACAAAACCAAACTCTACAAATTGCGTAGACAGAGCTATGTTTTGCTACATAAACAATCCATTATTTGGGCTGCTAAAAAAAAAAAAAATGGTATTTTTTAGGTCTAGTGATATCAAAGGCAACATCTACTATTATTTGATTTTATTTTCTACTGTATTTTTATTAGCTATCAAAAGCAGAAAACATGTTTTCTTGTACAATAACATGTGCAATCAGCAAGAAATGCAAATAGAAAAAAAAAAACTCAACAGGTGAACACACCAGCAGCGGTGATAAAACCACACACACGTCTTTCCGAGGAGTGCACTTGCAGCTGAATGTGTGTGATTCATATTATGTCTGTTCTGAGCAGACCTCTTAATCATTTAAACCCTTCTAACCATAAGGGCAGTCAGGATTATCGACTATAAAATAAAATAAACTTGTCTTTTTGACTTTCTTTTCAATGGAATCCTGTGGGGGATATAGCCTCTGAATATACTGCTTGATGTCAGTGATATAACACATGATATTATCCATATACTGTAGAGTTTGGAGAAACAAAGGCCAACTTTATATGTTGCATTTAAATTGTGGTTAAATTAAGGCAAATAAATAACAATACACCTTTAATGTTTTGAAGATATACTGTGTATTTGGTATAAGCTTGTGACAAACTCGGCCTATTTACCTTCACTCTTGTGTCCATCTTTCGTGGCTGAAAAAAGTATATATACAGCATTACAACAAACATCTGCTTTCCTTCTCCTTTCACATGAGGGGCACACTTGCATAGATAATGTAAGTCGACAATCTACCATATTCTCAGCCAGACACATTACCAGAAAAACATGCACACTGTCTGGATCTTAAATATTTAACATGGCCTGGCCTTTGGGGAGGGCTCAGTGGTCGCTGCATCTGGGAATCCAACCCACACACACACACACACACACATGCCATGATGGGGGCTTGCAGACACATTTAGGCTCACTCTCTGTAACCACACACTTAAACATGTCGCAAACTCATAGCTACACGCACTTATGTCTGCCTCCACAAACCGCTATCTTCACCACCATCGACCATCATTCCCTAAAGAGAGTGAGTAATGATAATAACGACACAACACTACCAACTGATGTGCAAGATTACTCACATTCAAATTTTTCAAACACTGAATACACAATATATTCAAACATACTAATTTGCAAATTTACTTGTCCCTTCATTGACTCCTGATATATCAATAGACAAAAATCCTGGGAAAGAGTATCAGAAAATTTCTGGTAAAATCTTATGTGATCTCCCTACAAATGAGTATATAGCCAATATGATTACCGGAAATAATGAAACCAGTATAACACCACGTTATAGGATTACCTTGTTGCATTCCGACTGTTGAGATATGCAAATACTGTAAATAAAGCACTTTTACCAAACCAAACAAATGCAGATGCGCTGTAAATTGTGAAGTTTCTAATTCTTTTGCAATGCATTTAATTGGGTGAACTCGCCGGCGACTGCATTTTGGGCTGGTAGAAAATGTGGCATGTGTCATCTCTAAAAGCTGTTCTGTGATAGGAGAGCAGAAGGAGCAAGTGAGCCGTGAAAACACAGATGACACACGCTGACCTTTATCACTGAGATCCGTCACTTCCTCAAAATTGAAAAGAAAAAAACTTTAGCTACTCGCAAACTGGAGCAAGAAGCACTGACGCAGCGCAACCTGGACATCAAGCCCTTAAGGAGGGAGCATCTGGCAGATAGAGAAATAATAAGTGTTGCTTAAGAAAGTTGGAGCGCCAGCCAGGTTCACACCATGTATTTTTAGTGAAAAGCACTTTTGTATGTGCATTTATTTCTAAGACAAACAATGCCATCGTCAGACTACCCTTTAGTCCCACAAAAAACATTACAAGCTGAAATAATACAATAAATAAAACAAGAGCTGAAGAAGTTGTCGAAGGATTAGCATTTCTTTCCTATGTAATTTTGGAGCTTCTTTAATAATAAACAACAAATTAATAACTGAAATATTATAAAATGAATGTATGCCGTTGCATTTGGATCCGAGATGGAGAACTGATATTCAAAATCTACCTCTGGATTTTGGCTGGTATGCAATTTGATGAGCAAGGTAGAGTCCCTAAGAACCTGGATCATCTGCAGAGCCATATGAAATTACTTCACAGGACTTCTCAAACTCTTCAATATGAAGTGAAAAACAGATCTATATTGTACTCTATCTAATATAAACTATATAAATGATAAATAACAGTTCTATTATCTTGTAAAAACCCTATTCACCCCAGCATTTTTCCCATGGTTTTTGACATGTGGGAAAGGTGGCAAGTTTTTTAGATCAAGGCTTTTTAATCCAACTTCCACTTTAAAAAACACTCTGTAAAAGTCACGGGGAATGCAATGCACCCAGGAGATCTCATTATATTGGACTACGGCAAGCTCATCACCCACATGGAGCAATATAAACATTTTCAAACATATTTTTACAAGGACAATAAAGGAAAGTCAAATTTTAGATGGCTCTCTTGAAACAGACCTTGTGCCGTCATTATGCGAAGTCTTGTTTTATAACCTCCTTCACCTGACCCACACGTAAATCATGCTGGACACGCCTCAGCAAAAAGACGGGTTTAATGCCAAATCGTTTTGGATGGCATGTCGCTCAGTATGTAAAGGAAAGGTCAAATTCCTCATGTGTTCGAGCCGTGGGAATGAGGCCACAGATTTACCTCTGCTTTCTATACGTAAAACTCAACAAAAAGGTTCTCCAGACTGCCCTGATGTTTCTACCCAATTGAACCTGCACACTTATATGATGCAAACAAAATTCGTGGGCGGCACTGTGGCTGAGTGGATGGCACTCTCGCCACTCAGCAAGAAGGTCCTGGGTTCGAATCCCGGTCAGAACAGGTTCTTTCTGAGTGGAGTTTGCATGTTCTCCCCAGCCTGTGTAGGTTTCCTCCGGGTACTCCGGTTTCCCATACCACTAAAAACATGCACACTAGGTTAAATCCTCCAACTCCGGTAGTCCTGACCAAGCCGAGCATCAACATCTGGAGAAGGGTTCCCGGGCGTTGTACTACAGCGACCACTGCTCCTGACGTAAGCCTTCGCGGCATCAGGATGGGTCAAATGCACAGTGGCGTTCCAAGGGTACCCCGGGGCCCCAGGCAACAAAGTCCTTGGAGGCCCCGATACCAACCACATAACCAGATTTTGTAATCCTATAAAATTTCATTTGGCCCTCGGAGTTACAAATGAAAGATTAGGCTATTAGCTTTAATCTGCAAAAAACGGCTTGGGTTTACCTTTTACCGTTCTTGAGCAATCTGTCATAGAATATAATAGATATAGTTTAATCCAAAACATAAGTCTCACTCGGTTTCGAACCTGGGTCGTCAAGGGGCAAGCGCTGCAACTTAACCACTTGACCACTATTTCATACCACACTTCTATTTCTCCAGGAAGGGTTTTTAACTGTTAATGAAGAACGTGGCAAGTTTTGCATCAGACGAGAAGTGTTTATCCGCCAACTCGTCAATGGGTAGCTGTTGTAGCCTGTACAAGTCGACCGCTTGTGTCAAAGCAGTCGGCCCTCGGGGGGGCCCCTGCCAGTTTGGGGGCCCCAGGCAGCTGTCTGCCTTGCCTAATGGCAAGGGAAGCCTCTGCAAATGCAGAGTATTGAATTGCCCTACGGGGATTAATAAAGTGCACCTTTACCTTTACCTTTCTTCCTATCAATCTTTGGACCAGTAAATAATAACCTTTTTAGTTACACCACAGTGAAGTGCAGAATATTCCCCCCAACACCTGGTCTTCTCAGTCATGTTGGACTGAACCAACTGGCCAAATTTTATAGATTTTAGTTAAAGAAAGAGAAGGTTTCCTGATGAAATTCCTCCCCCACAAATGTATGACTTTTCTTCTTCCAACAGGAGAAACAACCCTTCTCCCACTCAAACCCACCAGGAGATGTTCAGCTCTTGTTATTAAAGAAGACAGCATTTTTCTCACCGCTGGCTACGGCTCGCAGCTTCTTGAGCAGTTTGACGTGGGAGTCTGGCTTGATGGTTGTGGAGACATAGGGGTGGCAGCCTGCGGCATCCAGCAGGGTGTAGTAGTACAGCAGGCGGCCCATATCGCTGGCCTCCACACTGGGCAGCACGTATTTGTTCATGTGGCTGTGGAACGCCTCGGGGTCGTTCTTCAGAGTCTCAAACAGGCCCAGGAAGTCACTGCGAGATTCAATGTCCTTCGTGGAAAGC